CATCTCTGTTATTGCGGTAATACAATATGGCGATTCTTGCAATTTAGCTTGAAAATGCTCCTTTTAAGTTTTTTAATAAATTTTTTTCCCAAACTTGCAAATCGTGTTGATGTCAAGAATGTTCAAGTATTTTGGTCGCTACAGAAGGCCACAACGTGATAATGGCATGCACGTCCTCGTGTGAAAAAAAACTGCCACCTTTCTTTATTTTTGCTTTGTCAGTAGCTGTCAATTTGACGTCAAACAAGAAAAAGAGAATAACTTGAAATGATGATGGAATAAAGGGACATGTGAGATATGATTCAGATATTGATAACATACTCATGCCAATAATCGTTGTCACCCCTTCAATTGTTTTAATTGGAGAGGGGTGTGGGGTGAGTGTGGGTGGGGGTGGGGGTTGGGGTTGGGGGTTGGGGTGGTGCCAACCATTATTGGCATGAGTATATAACGAGAATATTTAGAATGCCGCTCTTTGTTCCATGGCGTGCCGCCCCTCGTTACATTTGACGTGCTACGATGAGTATGTTCGAAAGCTCATAGTGACGACGAAGACAGTGTTAGTGATGACGACGATCATACTAATGATGCTTGTGCGTCGATGATGAAGACAACAAAGATCTGATGTGTATGCTGTACCGTGTCTGGAGAAGTTGACAATAATCATTGTATTGACGATAAGGATTCTTAATATTGCTACGATTACTATGTACCGAAAATGACGACGAAGATGATGGTGATGAGACAACAAAGATCAGGATGGTAATGATGATGTTAAGAACGATGATGAAGGATAATGTAATGACGATGATTACATTGTTTGAGATGATGATCATGATAACAATAATTGTGTGATGACGACGAAGATGACAAGAAGACGACGACGATGATGGTGATGATAACACATGTGCGAACGGTGCGCTAATCTTTTCGGGAACACCTAATATGGTTCTTGGTTGGTGAGTGAGTGAGTATGGGTTTGCTTCGCTTTTAGCAATATTCTAGCTTCGTCAGACAAGGTGACCCCACAACTTTACCAATGTGGGGAATCGAATCCGAGTCTTTGGCATGACGGGCGACTGCTTCAATAACGACCCCCACTGTGCTCGTCATTGGTAATAGCGATGATGATTAATAAGCACATGCTTATGACAGAGTCGGATACATATAACGGATTCAATAAAATTCCAATCATTCTGCAAATGATTTTGTTAAACCGTATGAAATGTGAATGTACCTGATAAACCAGTCATAGAGTACCGTATGCATTAGTTCTTTTGGCTTTCACAAGTGATCACGAACAAGAAGTGATTTGTCAATCACCCCACGGCTGCATCATTAGTCGAACATTTCTTATATAAACCAGGTAAAGAGCTCACATGGGTCAATGCAGGCTTGCATCCAGTTCCTTTGATGTGCTGTCAATTTTGGGATCTATATATTTCTGTCAGTCAGTGTGTTATATTATCACCAGGAAACCAGAACCCCGTTGTGGCAAGGACATTAAACCGGGAAGTCTCCACGAGAAACTGCTGATTATCCTGGCCGAGGTACCTTGCACATAATTACCCTTTTGTTGACAACCGTTATATACATTTCAAACATGTCAGATGTAATTTACGTCTTTACTCGGCACATTAAAAATATGATTACCGGACACAACCTCATCAGTTTTATGGTTGTTCCGTTACTTAATGTGTTGAGAATAATGGCGCATGTTCACGATCACCAGGAATACATTAGGAGGTTACATGATAGCGCGACTAATCTCTTTAGTGATGTTTGACGTTGTGTATGTTGCTACAGGTTGATGGAGTCCACTGTTTTGTATTGAAAGAAAATCACATCAGCAGTTGATGAGGTTTCCCCTGTTGAGTTGATGTTTCTTAAACAGAATATGAAATGAGTGTTTATGGACTGGACAAAGCAAGACATGTTTTAGAAAGTCATCAGATTTAACGAGTTATTGTGACGAGCTTTGCATGTTTCCTCCTCTTGATGCGATATTTGAATGTCTTCGTTACTAATGCATGAAACTTTATTTAACTTAGATTGCTCTTTGAATATTTATAAGTTCATTTAACAAGGCCGAACATATTGTAGGCAGTCAATGTGAAAATACTTTGGAGCGTTATAAAAACGTGTCAATCTGTTTACAGGTTACCTTCGTCATGGTAACATTTTTTATTCCAAAGTTTGTTTGCTTGTCTAACCCTGCACGCTGAATGACTGCAGTATGTAAATAATGGACCAGATAATCAAGTGATAGGCATCGTGAGCATCCATCTGTACATGTGTCATTGGGATACAGAGTCAATCAAGACGGACAGGTTGACCTATCGCCTCTTACGATAAGCATGGGTTGCTAAAGATCAATCGCGACTTGGATCTTCACGGGTAGAATTCTGAAGTAAATCTATACATATGGCATTTTGTTGCATTGAGAGGTGGTGTGGTAGCCAAGTGATGAAAGTGTTCGCTTGTAAAGCCGAAAACCCGTGTTCGATTCCCCACCCGGGTACAATGTGTGAAGACAATTTCTGGAGTGCCCAATAGTGATAGTGCTAGACTGTTGCTGTCTTTATTATCTACATTACAATTACCTGACGGAGATCTGAACATAATTCAGACTACATCCACAAATCCAGTGATTTATAACTTTTTTTGTTTACATTGCTAGACATGTCTTGAATAAGCTTAGCGAAACCTCTTCATCTGAACTCTTGGTCCCTACCTGAAGACAATGCTTCACAAACAGTAGTCATTAATCTACACTTGTATTAATCTTGAAATTTTCAGTAAAAACACAACCGTCAGGATTAACATTGTTTCACCTTAACAAGAATCTGAACCCATGATCGTTAATACGGACATGTGTTGATCTGGACAATCTCATCGGGAAGTGATTGTCCGTATTAATGAGTTTTAATTGCTGATATATATTTACGGACAGAATATACTGACTGGGGACCTTCAGGTTGCGTTTTGGACGTGACTTCTATGATCAGCTGAAAGTTACGTTACAATATCCGCAGAATGGTGCGTCACTGGTTTGAACCCGTGGTCGTCTAAATACATTACCCTGTCTGGTATTCGGTTTGACTGGGGCCTTGTGAAACTGCTTCATAGTATCTGAGTTGGAAAGGTCAGCAAACTATTCTTGTAAAGAACTCAAAGCGACCACTAAGTCCAGTTTCATCTAACTTAAGTCATTTCTGTTTACATCAGTTTGCGTGGATCAAAAGTACAGTTTGGCATTCATATCGTTGCAAGTGATCTTGTGACACATGTAGTAGTAACATAAAAAACTGCACACATGCAAATAAACTGACAGACAGACGAAGACACAAACACAACCTTAAAATAAATAAAAGCAACACAAATATGTCACGTGCGTTAAGTGGAATATTACTGAGCTATTGAACTTGATGCACATTAATATAAGAATGACTAATAATTATAACAACTGAAATATGATCTTTCAAGAGAGTGAGTGAGTTTAGTTTTATGCCACACTCAACAATATCCCAACTATATGGCGGCGGTCTGTGAACAATCGAGAGTCGACCAGACCATCCAGGGATCAACAGCATGAGCATCGATCTTCGCAACTGGGATACGCTGACATGTGTCAACGAAGTCAGCGAGCCTGATCACAAGCATGCATATGGGTTACTGAAGATCAATCCTAACCCAGATCTTCAGGGCTCCTTTCATACTAACACACGACGTATTAAATACTAACCCTTCGCAATGCAGTTTTGCTCAAATGACATTCTCTGTGTCGACTGATGAGGTGGAAGGTCTCATGTGCCCCAAATGGACATGGGATGACGTAGACGTGTCAGTGTCCTTTCAGATCGTATAATGTTTCAATTTCTTCTTCTTATGAAACTAAACAACCTCCAGTGACATAGTTTCATATTTGGTCATGATTATTGCGTAGGTTGAGAGTCCAAGTATTTTGTCACGTTTCCATCGTCGTGAGTAATGGATATTTGATCAACTACAGGAAAATGCGTTTGCAGCGAACAGGCTTATACCGAACTGTTTTGGTCTCAGGAATTTGCTGTATATCCTAATTGAAAATGAATATAACGAACTGCGTTTTGAACGAGCTAAACTTAGTTTTCCCTTAAAGTCGTCGAACACGTAGTTCAATGTAACTTTTGTTGTTCTTTCGAAGAGTATTGTTCTAGTAATTCTGAAGCCGACATATCTGTAACGAAAGAGTGGTGGCTTCAGGGTCACCTACGTCCAGAGTTATCTCCTCTTTGTTATGCCTCTGGTGTAAGACTGTGGGATTCATTCCAGTGATTTCTATAAGGTTGTTGTGTGGTCTAAATGGCCGTAGTGAGGCTTGGCTACTGCTAGAGTTCCCCAGAACTGTATAATAGGTATATAAGCGGTGGTTGTTGAGATCTACGGGGGACTACTGCTTTGTAATTACGCTCATCTGTCTGCTAACATCGGCGTTTCACCACTCAAGAGACCTACCACTCGTCTACATTGAACTTCCAACAACCTCGTCAACAACCTTTAATCAGAGCATCTGTTTACACTGGGAATAACAGAACTTTGGTGAGTTAACATTTTGATTTGTTACTCAATATTTTAGATTTGTGACCCAACTGTATAGTATTGGAAATCTGTACTGTCATTCTTTGTAACCTTGTTTATTGTTTATTCAATATATTATTGAATATCATAGACTTGTCTGTGTTCTATTTTGCTGGTTTAAACGGTACTCAAGACTTTTGTCACGGTAATTTCTAATCCGTAACAATACGTTCCGATAAATCTCCACTAGTACCCGATAATTGTACTAGTTACCTCCCTTTGCTGGCTTGTTATCCAATCGTTGATCTACGTTGGGAAGTTGAGCGTACCAATACCAAGGCTTCCTCTTCTTCGGTAAATAGTAATGTTAAGAAGTAGGAGGAGTTCTTGCATATATTTTTTTTTAGGTTTCAGTCCTTTCAATTTATCTGTACGATTTTTTCCCTAAATCTGAGTCGCACAGCAATCAAATCTTCTCGGCTGCGGCCACCATGTTTGTTGACACTGGCAAGCTAGGTTGTAACGGCTTCTCTGATTGGCTACTGTAAGAAGGCGGAGCCAGCAAAGGGAGGTGATGCAATGTTGGGGCCGAGCCGAACATGTATCCAGAGTACAAGTGGATATTTATCGGAACATATACCCTGGAGATTATTGAGTGAGTGAGTGAGTGAGTTAATATTTAACGTCACATCGGCAATATTTCAGCCATAGGAGATTATTGAGGATGATATGAGGTGAGCTACGCTTAAATGTCGTGTTTAAGTTACTGGGATTTGATTTCTGTGTACATTTCAAACTACACTCAGAGTAGAATCAACGCCTGATCATGCTTCCGATATCCCATTATCAGAAACCAAATGCAAGACACTCTCAGCACGGTTATTACACGCTGATTGCTTCACTTACTTTTTATTTTGCCGTAATGTAATAAAATATGTCTGCTGTGAATAATATTATAGTTATGAAACATGCCGGCTGGCTTTAATATTGCAAGACAAAATATGGAAATTTGCAACTGGACCATATGTTGTGTGTTGTCAAGTACAGCATTTGTTGCACAGGTGGAATAAATGCAATAATTATCAATTCTGTAGCGAGGAATATTGTAAATTTTCCTTCGCTTACGTTTTGTTTTTGTTTCGTAGGTTAAAAGGTTTTAGCATTCGCAGTGTTCGCACCGAAGCCCTTATTGTATGTCCATATATTGCAAGTTTAACATTTCGTTATATTCCTTCTTGACATGGAAGAGTAGTGTATAATTTCATATCTGCTGTAATCCCTTTAATCTTGACGGTACACGATCAATGAGAATACAAAGCGCGAACACAGTGCGTACGAAGCGCGAACAAAGCGCGAATGATGGGATCATATGTGATCATGATCTATGGGAGATATTTTCGCACAACGATAGAGATCGACGGGACTTGTTCTTTGCACATTGCTGTATGCATACATCTTTCACTTTCTTTGGCCATTACTCCTCAGCAAATATGCATCCAGTTTTGAAACGTCTCAAGTGAAATGTACAGATGTCCACCAATGACCTCCACTGTGTTAAAAAACACGTGTGTCATGATCTAATTTCACTCTTACCAGAATGTGAAAATAAGAAATGCCTTGAAGACAAAAACTCCAAAACGACAACGCTCGCAACTCTAATTTGAAATACGTTCTTTTCATTCCAGCGTGCACGAAGTATATACATATGTCAAAATGTAGACGTGAAATATAATGTGTTTGTACTTTGAAACACATTCTGAATTGCGTTGAAACATATTAGGACTTGCGTTGCAAAACTCTTTCATTCAAAGTAGTTGCAAACTCCATGCCCCCTGAATTATATAAATAGAATGGAGTATCGCCAAGAAAAGTGAATATTCTGCATACCAGCTATTGTGTTGATGGATATGATTCGCTTGTGTTAATGTTGCAAATATTCGGGACAACACCCCGTCTCTGTTGTGGAACAGAAAGCAGAAGATCAGTGGTTGCAACCCCTATTGAAACAATGTTGTCATACCTTGCTGTCAGGCAAGGTAAAAACCAAAGCAAGTACAGAGATTATATAACAGGAAAGAGTGTATAACAGAAGTCGTGCAAACAAGACACACTGACTGAACCATATTTAGAGTCGACAAGGCACACCACATTTACCAATAACATGTCCACATACACGGACACACGTTGATACGTACATAGATATACAGATATGCATACTCTTACCCTCCATCTCTCTCTCTCTCTCTCTCTCTCTCTCTCTCTCTCTCCTCGCTCAATATCTCTTGTAAATTGAACATCCCGCTTTCAAACATCAATTTTACTCTAAACAGACGACGCACACTTTCCTCATTTACATGACAGCCAATTGCACAAAGTATTGATACCAGGTTTTCGCAAGATGATGAGCGTATCCTTTTCCACCGGTGTCACAAAGACATGCAAAGGAAAGTCAATGGTTGGCAGTGTATTTTTGGATGCCTTTTAATGCATTTGGGTAAACAAGTTCTAACTAATTTTCCATTTTAACAAACAGATAAATAATGTATATAAGGCTAAATTCATTGTGCAGCTCCACGTTGAATGTGTTTTATCTATACGCTTAACATCATTCTCATAAGTACTTGTCACCCGTGACAGTACTAACATTGCAGGAACTTTTCATTCCCATAGGTGTCTGTTGATTCTGAATCACTGGATATGATGAAAAAACCCCGGGAAATTAAGATCACCAAGTGCCACAAAACTAAACAGCTCGCAAATATATCACTTATGGAGTTTGATAGGGAGGTTATTCTCACAGAACAAGCGTTATCTTTCAGAATATGTCAGTTGCAATACTGAACCGGAAATAATAAATGTAACGAACAATCAATGTCCCCTAATTCTTACTGACATTGTACACAAATGCTGTGATACACTGTCGAAAGTATCAGAAGAACCTTATCTGAAGAAAGTGCTGGTTTTCATAATGAAAGTATCAGAATAAAAAAGAATAAACACAAGAACATGAAAATGAACTTTTGATATGAAGGACCTTATCATTAGAAAATGTTGGTTTTCATAATGATAGCTTGTCTGATTTATCATCATAATGATAGCTTAATACCAGACGGTTTAAAGATGTATATAGTCATCGCTCAACAACATCTACTTATGTCCAAATGAATTGTCAGTTCCTACATTCCAAGTATAACAAAAACAAACAAACGCATGCAAAGTCAAGTCAAGTGTTCACATGGACAAAAAAGAAACACTCCACATTTTGATAATCATTATCTTGCCGAATCACAAATTCGGTGGATTCGTTTTTATGTTTTACTGTCATTTGATGTTAAACTATTTCACGACATAACTTTTGTTTCTGCTTAAGTTCCACGAGATAATCAAAACAACATGTTAAGTAATGAAGTGAATTTAAACAACCATCTTGTCCAATTTGAAATACGCTCAAGTCCAGCGATTTTGTAAAAAATGGTACCATCAGCGTGATGAGGAGGCGCTTCTTAAAAATAATCCCAAACTGTTTGGTATAAAGGGCAAACAAAACTGGTCCTTGAACAGACCCTTGCAGTGCTCCACATTCTCAATTATTCAGTTATGATTTCAAAGCATGCATAGACTTAGTGATAACAATTTACAAGATAAAAATGGAACTAATGATGCCAATTCAATCAAAACCATGTTTTCAAAGAGTGTTATGCTAGCAGTTATTTTCTACAGAATACCCTAAAATATTCCGATGTTTCACAAAAATCTACCCATGGGTGTAAAAAGCATTTGTATTTACACAACGTCTTGGTGTCAGATTTGTTTCCCCTTGGATCACTGGATTGTCTGTTCCACTCTCGATTATTTACAGACCGCTGCCATATATTGCTGAGCGTTAAGCAACAAACAAACCAACTAATTGTTATGGTCAATGGGTTATCAGCACTCAAGACGTTCTGGGGACGGTAGGCTTTATGAAAGGCATGCACAATTCGGAGGTTACAACTGACACGCTTTCATATAACTGACATATTGTCCATCATTAAACCACGGTAGAATATCCACGATATTCATCCTAAAATTTTAACATGGCCCCCTTTTATCTACTTCGAGAGAAAAACAATAAATGAAATGCGAGATACGAGCTACAGAGGCAGTGACGACAATCGGATGTATCCTGGGAAAGAAGAGAAATAACCTACACTCGATGCAATCATTCCACCCACTCACATGGCCCACTTAATTAGCCATCTCACACATACCCAACAGCCTCACTCAGCTCACTTACTTCTAAATCATTAGTGAGTTAGTGGATTATGTTGTCGATAAAGAACAGAAAATGACGCGTCGTCATTTTATGTTTTGCCTCAAGATAAAAGAAAGCACACCACAGTGACTATATTTTGGCCTCAACAGAGGGACTATATTTTGGCCTCTAAAGAGGGACTATATTTTGGCGTCAACAGTGACCATTTTGTGCCTCAAGTTACTGTTTTTTGCGCAAACGTGCACAACTGATAATACGTTTTAAAACCATTATATGAACAAGTGGTTATTTGTTTGTGCATACAATGTGGTTTTGCTCTGTTTTCAAGTAGATCATCATTGAATGATTGATGTATTGAACAAGTTGGAAAGAGATGGAAGGAACAAAAAGTTTAGACGTTTCAGTGTTTGATGAAACCTCGGGGCGTTGTTTGACAGCTGGTAAAGGGAACTGACTATAGCCATTGTTCTCACTGTGAATTGAATATACACGCGGCTACCTTAGAGTAGATTTGTGTTTTGGAAACAAGCAACATGTTATTTAAAAATCATACAACGAAAATACAGTGAAAACAATTTCTGATTTTCTATCGGATTTATTATCGAAATTGTCAATGTGTTTTCCAGATTTAACAACAGCATGATTTAAAACTTGTTTAATGTTTCTGAAATGAAACACCCAAGTTTCACTGATGGATTCTGTTAAAGATGGTGCATTGGATTGTGACTGACATAAACTAAGCTAACCAATCAGAAATGATATTTGCCCTCCAGACCTGGCATTGACTCATAAATGGGAACAGTCCATGGCAGGCTATTGTGAAAGAATCCGGTAAGGCGAGAAACGTGAAATTAAATTGGGACACTGCACCATAGGATCTGCTCCCGTGCCAGCCTAATGGGACATTAACTTTTACACAATTTGGGATTGGCGTCACAGGCCGCCAACCGCCTGATGGCCGCTGTGTCTCCAGCGCTGAGTTTCCTTCATCAGATGGACGGAATCGCCCAATCGAACGAGAATGGTGTTCTTCTTTTTGTGTCATTAGGTTATGTAAACTGGCAAATGGTAATTTAACTGCAACAGCAAGTTTGACTATTGTTTCAAAGTCGATTACTTGAAATGTCAGAGACTAAATATATATAATATATAAGCTCCTTTTAGTAGGTGAGTCTGGCTGAGACACAGTCTAATGGTTAATGCGTTCAGTCGTTATTCTTAACGATGATAACAAAACCAATGATGTATTTCTACAGCACCTAAAACCAAACAGTAAGGTGTTTAGTAGCGGTGTACAAAGTTAAAAAGATGTAACACATCTAGTGGTCAAATATAGCGTTCACTCATCACACCGAAGACCGATTCCCATCATGGGTACATGCAGCGTGTGAAGCCCATGTTAGTGTCCTCCGTCATGGCATGATTGGAATATTACTAAAAGCGGCGGAACAACTCACACAAGTAGACTAGTAGTCTAAGGGGTCGTGATTCAAACTGAAAAGTTTCCTCCCTTTAAGGTCAGGATTCGCAAATTTGTCCTAAAAATAATGCTGCTTTAATTTAGCAACGTAAACTCTTTCCTGGGTTTTGTGGTCATACTCTGTCTTGCTGAAGTAACCTCAACCTCTTATCCCAATTAAAAAAGCATTTCCATATAACAGTAGTACCATTCCAAACATGAAACATAACTCACTCCCGTTAATTCCAGTTTCCTTTATTTCCAACCAGGACGTGGTGTACTCACCAAATAATGTTTCCCCAAGAACTCAAGAAACTGACTACGGGGTCGAACTCAAAATCGTCACTATCGTATAAACCAGCGATATATCAGCGATAGAGGTTCTACCCATAAACATCCGTCAGCCACCATAAGACTATGTTATGTTGACTTGTCGTTATATAACTGTTCCTTGCTAAAAAAAACTGGCATTAACCAACAAACTGTTTAGCTCGAAATTTTCAAGCATGAATCAAATTCATTTCGAGCCACGCTATTTTGAGATCAGCAGTGAAATCTAAGGCAGATTTCTTGTAAATTTTCAATTCGGTGTTGCGATGGACTGACGTTTGACGAAAATCCTGAATTGACAGGGATGGTTTCATTTTGACACATAACACAACTTCAGTGGGTCGACGTTTATCGCAACAGAGTTACAAACTGAAAATCATCTTTCCAATATCGTCACTTTAACTTTGCTTGTTAATAAATCACAGTCTATGATAAGGATCTCGTTTGGGCCAAGGCGAACTTCTAAAATATAACGTTTGGTGTTTGAGTATGATCAAACATTTTCAAACGGCATTCAACATTTTTTTTTCACTTTGGATTTAACATGTAGAGAACAACTTACACTGCGTCAATCGTTGACATGACATGCTTTCAGTACCAATGGTCTACCTGGCCTTATTAGAGAATCCTAAAAATAAGACAGACAGACAGACAGATTTATTTGTATAAGTGGCCCTGAGGCCAATAGTACATGTGTAAAATAATAACAGTGCATTTATGCGCAGACTGTAAATACGCGAGTTATAGGAACATCAATAAATCCATAAACACCCATTTACAATTAGGTCTCTCAACCTAAGTATGTGGTACAACACAAGGGCTACCTTAAACAACAAGTCAATATTCTCAGTGCGAAGTAGCATACAGAATTTATGTCTCGACGGTTGGTTGTAGAAAAAATAAGGCAAATATGTTTCTCTTATTTCTAAATATGTCGGGCATATAAGTAATACATGGTACTCATCTTCTTGCAATAAATTGCAGAATGGACATTGGATATCTATTACATTTGATTTTTTGGCAAATCGTGCCGCTTGGACTTTGAAGTTGTGAGCGTTACATCTAAATTTAGTAAGCGTACGCTTAAGTTGTGGTGATTTAAACTTTGAAAGGTAAATTTCTGTATTAATACAATATTTATATTCTGAATAAAAGTTGACACAGCTTGATGACGTTATTTTATTATACCAGTCTTGTTGATAATGTCTTTGCATCTCTGCTTGAATACTTCGATGAAATATTGTGTATTACATACATTTTGAGCGAGCCATACATTTCCAAAGCCATGACTAAAAAGAATAGTTCTAACGAAGGAAACTCAATTAGTATCTCTGGTATCATCTAGTGTTTAAGCATTTCATAACTACATTTTGAATATCGTGAAATTGGTTGTCTCATCAATCTTAGCCAATATGAAATAACCCGACAACGGGCGTTAATAAACAGTGGAAAACGTCCACATTCAGCTAAAATAACCTTGTTCGCACTTCTGTAGCCAACACGCAACAAAAACTTTCAGGACTTTGAATGTACCTTTTAAAATGCTTGTTTATGTTAATGCCCCATATTTCAGAGCCGTACTACAAAATTGGTTGAATTTTTCCATCAAACAGTTTAAATGATGAATGGATCGGTAATTCTTTATATTTACATATGAATTTCGTTTTGACATGTAGGGCTCGTTCAGCTTGCATAGATAATGTTATTCTGCTTTGCACTTTAGCTTCATTCTCCTCATGAAACCTCTCATAGCCTGCGTTCGAACTCGGCCTAAAACTAAAAAAAAAATCCCTTGAGGACAATTTGAATTGTGGCTATCAACTCCAAATCACATTGGTGTCAATGCAGTGATTAAAGTGATCACTCTGGCCCCATGCTCCACGCTCAATACCCTAAATAGAAAATGAGTACCCGGATAATACGCTGTTAACGATTAGTCAACAAATACAGTAAGCTTATATAGGATGACATATGTCAATTTTCTGTACATTCGGCTCTTCTGTGATAATTCCTCCATTATTTCATGCAGTACTAATGGATGCGAAGATATTCGCGACAACCCTTAATTGTAATTCCATTGAAGTTAGTGATGGGATTTAGTTGCAAGGTCTTCAAGTACACGTTTATGGAAAGAACGAAGTATACAACATCTCTGTTATGGCGGTAATACAATATGGCGATTTTTGCAATTCCGCTTGAAAATGTACCTTGTTGTCGAAATATGTTGTCTCCAAATCTGCGACTCATGCTTGAATTACATGTGCTGAAATCAAGATGTGAAAGTATTTTGGTCGCTACAGAAGGCCACAACGTGATATTGGCATGCATGCGGCCTTCGTCTTTAATTTAGCTTTGTCAGTAGCTGGCAATTGACGTCAAACAAGAAAAAGAAAATAACTTGAAATGATGATGGAATTCAAGGGACATATGAGACTGAGGCCAGGTTAAGCTTCTAATGCGATCCAGATATCGATAATATAGCGAGAATATTTAGAACATCTATTTTTGTTGCATGGCGTGACGCCCCTCATTACATTTGACGTGCTTCATAGTGCGTGTGTGATTATAGTTTTACGCCGCTTATAGAACATCATGACTGGGTACAGAAGAATATGTCTTCACACACTGTAGGCAAGTTGTGAATCAATTTGAATGTGGAATGGAATGGAATATGTGGAGATCTGCCAGAATCTGACTGTGGAAGGATTACCCTTCGAAAAGGATTTCATGGGAAAATGTCAACTACGAGATTACTTCCTGTGAGAGAAAATCCAGGGCGATAGAACTATTCTGTAATATATAAATCTGATATGTATGCTCTAACGTGTCCGAAGAAGTTGGCAATAATCATTGTATTGATGATAAAGACTTATGTAAATGCAACGATTTCAGTGGACTGGAAACTCACAATGACGACAAAAACAGTGTTAGTGCTGCTGCTGGTGGTGGTGGTCGTGCTGCTGTTGCTGCTGATACTAGTGACAATTGCGCATCGATGGCGAAGACAACAGAGATGTGAATGTTAATGACGATTTTAATGACAATGATGAAGGTGAATGTAACGACTATGATTATGTTGTTTAAGATGGTGATCATGATGACAATATTTGTGTGATGATGAAGAATATATCAAGAAGACAACGACGACTATGATGATGATGACGACGATGATGATGACACATGTGGGTACGGTGCGCTAATCTTTTCAGGAACACCTAATATGGTTCTTGGTTGGTGAGTGAGTGAGTATAGTTTTACTCCGCTTTTGGCAATATTCTAGCTAGGTCTAACCGGGTGACACTAGGAATCGGCTTCACACAATGTACCCATGTGGGATATCGAATCCGGGTCTTTGGCGTGATGAGCGACCATTTCAATCACGATCCCCATTGTTCTCATTATTGGTAATAGTGATGGTGATTAATAAACACATGCTTATGATAGAGTCGGATATATTAGACCGATTCAATAAATTCCAATTATTATGCAAATGATTTTGTTGAACCCTATGAATGTGAATGTACCTCATAAACCGGTCGTAGAGTAGAGTATGCATTTATTCTTTTGGCATTGACTAATCGAACACGAAGTGATTTGTCAATCATCCCACGGCTGTATCATTAGACGAACATTTCTTATATAAACCAGGTAAAGAGCTCACATGGAGCAATGCAGGCTTGCATCCAGTTCCTTTGATGTGCTGTCAATTTCGGGATCTATATATTTCTGTCAATCAGTGTGTTATATTATCACCAGGAAACCAGAACCCCGTTGTGGCAAGGACATTAAACCGGGAAGTCTCCACGTGAAACTAATGATTATCCTAGCCAGGTTACCTTGCACATAATTACCCTTTTGTTAACAACCGTTATGCACGTTTCAAACTTGTCAGATGTAATTTACGTCTTTACTCTACACGTTAAAAATATGTGAATCGGACACAAGCTCATTAGTTTTATGGTTGTTCCATTACTTAATGTGTTGAGAATAATGGCGCATGTTCACGATAACCAGCGATATATGGGGAGGTTACATGATAGCGCGAGTAATCTCTTTAGTGAGGTTTCACGTTGTTGATGTTGCTACAGGTTGATGGAGTCCACTGTTTTGTATTGAAAGAAAATCACATCAGCAGTTGATGAGGTTTTCCCCGTTCAGTTGATGTTTCTTAAACAGAATATGAAACGGGTGTTGATGTAAAGGTCCCAGCAAGACATGTTTTAGACTGTCATCAGATTTAACGAGTTATTGTGACAAGCTTTGCATGTTTCGTCGTCGTACTGTATTTGAATGTCTTCGTTACTAATGTATGATACTTCATTTAACTTAGATTGGTCTTTGAATATTCATTGGTTCATTACACAAAGCCGAACATATCGTAGGCAGTTAATGTGAAAATACGTTTCAGCATTTTGAAAAATGTGTCTCACTCATGGGAACATATTTTATTCCTAAGTTTCTTTGCTTGTCTAACGCTGTGCGCAGCAATAGTCCATCTGAATGACTGCAATCTCTAAATAATGGACCAGATAATCAAGTGATTGGCATCGTGAGCATCGACCTGTGGGATACACAGATATATCAATCAAGTCAGCCTGGTCAACCTATCGCCTCCTACGACAAACATGGGTTTCTGAAGACCAATACCAGCTTGGATCTTCACAGGTAGAATATCTATGTTGATATATGATGGCTGCACCAAAGATCCAGTGATTTGCAACATACACTCATGTGCCATATTCAAGTTCACAAAATGGCCACTGTGATTCTTGCCAGCAGTAGCTGGTTATTTTAAATGAAAGTTTATTTCATCTTAGCAATAGTTATAGGGTGTTTATGTTCTGGTCCAAGCAAAACATGTTTTAGAAAATCAAGTTGTTGTAGGAAAAGATCAGAAAGTTTATGTTGGAGGAGGATATATGAAGAAAAGTGGAAACCCCGGTTGTGTGTATAGGGATAAAAATGCCCCACGTCTCAGTGTTATGTTCTGGCGATGCATTTGTTTTGAAGGTGTTGGAACCCTTGTCGATGTAGATGGTCGTATCAACTCTACAAAGTATATAGATACACTGGAGAGCAACCTTTGGCCAGTAATAGTCAAAGTTCCAGCATATCGGGGCTATATATTTCAAGAGGACAATTGTCCTGTCCATGTTTCTAGACAGACAATTCTGTGGAAACGTGACAATGACATTCAGACAATGAATTGGCCTCCTCAGGTCCTAGACTGTAATATCATTGAAAATGTGTGGAGAATTCTGAAAATCGGGCTACAAAGACAGTTACATGAAATAAAAACCAAGCAGGATCTGATAGATCACGTTCAAGGTATCTGGACATCACTTACTCCAGAGTACATAAAATCACTGTATTCTACGCTACCTAAGCGACTGAGGGCTGTTCTTGCAGTAAATGGCTGTATTACTAAATACGGTAAATATCAGGTAAGTGGCTTCAGGCATTATTTTGAAATCAAACTTTATTTACTTGTCATTACAGTTAGAGAAAATTACATGACGGCCATTGATATGGCACATGAGTGTATGTTTACAGTAGTACAACGGTATTATAACGAAAAGGAATGTAATTATCTGCATAATCAAAGCCTGTGATCGGGACCGCCGATCCCGTTAGTTGCCTCTTAGGACAAGAATTGTTTGCTGATCATGACGTTCTATTCTCATCGGGATCTGCATGGATTTCCAAATGTTACAAGGTAATCGAAGTTTAGATTCGGGAATTATATGGCTTTTTGTTTTTATTGCAAGGTATACATGTCCTGAATAAGATTATTGAAAACTTTTCATCGGACATTTCAGTCCAAACCTCGTAAAACTGAAGAGGACATAGTCCTTAAAAACCGAAAATGTACATTCATCTGGAATGTTTCAGTAAATACAACCGTCCGGACTCACATGGTTTCACTCTTACATTAATCCGAACCCATGATTATCAATTCGGACACGCAATAATTCATACGATCTCATGGGGAATGGATTGTCCGTATTAATGAGTTTCAATTGGTTATTGTCAATATATATTTCCGGACAGAATATTCTGAATGGGGACCTTCAGGTTGGGTTTTGGACGTGAACTCTATGATCAGCTGAAATTCACGTTACAATATCCGCAGTGTTGCGTGCCTGGCTCGAGACCCTGGTCGTCTAAATACTTTAATCTGTCTGGAATTAGGTTTGAGTGGGGCCTTGTTAAACTGCTTCATGGTATCAGAGTTGGAATGGTCAGCAAACCACTCTTGAAAAGAACTCAAAGGA